TTAATAGAATTATATTAATATATTAGAAAATATAAGATTTAATATATTAAAATTTTGAAATGAGTTCAATTAATGAAAACTGCAGATAAATCATTCAATTATTAGTGGAGGAATGTTGGGTCTGTTGGTTTTGTGATTTTGGATTTTCTGAATTAGGCCATGTATTTTCGAGATTGATCCTGCGATTTTCTTTGTAAATGGGTATTTTTCTTTTGTTATTCCCTAACAACATCGAACTCAAAAACATCGGCCAAAACGTTATTGTCAATTGTCAACAAAAATAATTGATATAACCAATAAAATATCCTAAAATTACTGATAGCATACTCACAGCAAGAAAGAAAACTAAAAAGGTTAAAAACAAAGCAAAATGCCTATAATCAAGAGTGACAAGTAATCCTTTTGTACACAGAAATTCCAATAACCAAAATATGAACGAACACAAAAGGGCAAATTCATTTTGATAAATAGATTCAGAATAATTTTCGTTTCTTTGTCAAATTTCATCAGGCAATTGAAAACTCTGCGTACCGAAAATTTGAAGAGATGTGTTCTGTAGAAAAACAGCAACTCCACATTTTGCGCTGTTGAATCCATCCCAAACTGTGAAATGAGCCGTCTCCGACACCGTCTTCTTCGCCGCTAAATCTTTAACGGTGCATAACTTTTCTAGCTTTCTTACAACGTAGTCATTGGCCAATACTCTTCCTGAGTTCTCTCCTCGGGGGCAATCGGTCACTAGTCCGTTCTCGTATAGCGCCACCATTATATCGATCCCGCTCGAGTCCACTTTCATCCTCAAAGCTCCTGTGAGAGATACTTGAAGGGTTTCTGAGGTTGGTCTTTGGAATGTGGCCTGGTAAGAGCAACATTCTCACTTATCTTAATCACAATGTAGTTAATTAAAGCAACCACACAAAGTTAATGTATTGAATCTTATTAACCAACTCTGTTTTACTTCATAGAGAACATGTTCGACTACTAGCTTTCTATATGATTCTCAGTCCAAGCCTCTCTAATCGTTTAAATTACAAAGACCGAAATTCCTAATAAGCAAGTTGGACCACAATCATAGCCCATGCTTTTGACAAAGCCAATTGTCAACAAGAACACATTACATACACAGGAATGTAAGCTTTTAACACATAAAGTTGTGTTATGCTACAAGCATTCATTGATTCCAAGATCATGAGTGAATATATTGATATCAGTGACATAGCTAATCCTATGATACAAGACTGGATCAAGAACAGGATCATGTTGAATCTAAAAGACTATTCAAGTACATAACTGAAACCAAAATTTCTCCAAGATCATAAATCCCAATTCAATCCGCTATACTATTGTATATGTGAGATTTAAGCCATCGAGGATTCTAAACATCAAATTGACTTCTCCTACATTGATTGATCAACATCGGAAATTAAATGAAAGAAATGACTCACCCGAAACGCCGGAGAAGGAAACCTAGGCGCATCGACGATGGACTTGAGCAGAGTCTCTTCCTCATTCCCAAGTAATTGAACACGACCTTGAACAACAAACTGCGGAGTAAACATCGTATCCTGATTCAACGCTTCGATGTAAGCCTTTTGCCTCACCGTCCACTGGCTAGATCCATACGGATCTTTCCAACCCAAATAATCCCAATAATCAACGTGGAAAACCAAAACCATCGCCGGAGAACCAGATCCACCTTCTCTACGGATCTGCCCGTCGAAATCGCCACGGCCGAGACGCGACACGAGCATCTCCGCCTCCGGAGAAGTCTTACATCCTTGAGAAGAGAAGAGCTGAACGAGAACAGGTCCGTCACCGGCGGGAACATCTGCAGCGACAACAGCCGCGTTATGACCGGAGATACCTTTTCCGGTGGTGGAAGTTGAAGATCCTTTGACGCCAAAACAGGCGAAAAGACGCGGCGCCATCGGGGAAAATCGGCAGAGATTTTTTTCCGTTAGAAGAAAGAAAACAAAAAAAATCGGAGGAGGGAGAAACAAATCGGAAAGATCAGAAATGTTTCCCCAAGAAAAAAAGAGAGAAAGTTCAGAGAAACATTGAAATATTGAGAAAGAGGAAGAAAACGATTTTACAGGGTAAAGAGACAAAGGCGGCAACAAGTGTCTTTAGCCAATTTTCCTCTCTATTTA